TGGCTAGCACTACAGAAGAAAGAGACTTGGGGGTCATCATTGACCACAAGATGAACATGAGCCTGCAATGTGATGCTGCTGCTAGTAAAGCGACCAAAATGCTGGCTTGCATCCATAGATGCTTCTCAAGCAAATCCTGGGACGTCATTCTCCCCTCGTACTCGGCCTTGGTGAGGCCGCAGCTGGAGTACTGCGTCCAGTTTTGGGTGCCATAATTCAAAAAGGATGTGGGGAAGCTTGAGAGAGTGCAGGGAAGAGCCAGGCGCATGATCAGAGGTCAGGAAAGCAGACCTTACGACAACAGCCTGAGAGCCATGGGGCTCTTTAGCCTGGAAAAGCACAGGCTCAGGGGTGATCTGATGGCCGCCTATAAGTTTATCAGGGATGACCACCAGGATCTGGGGGAACGTGTGTTCACCAGAGCGCCCCAAGGGATGACGAGGTCGAACAGTCATAAACTACTGCAAGACCATTTCAGGCTGGACATAAGGAAGAATTTCTTTACTGTCTGAGGCCCCAAGGTCTGGAACAGCCTGCCATCAGAGGTGGTTCAAGCACCAGCCTGAAACAGTCTTGTAGTAGTTTATGACCGTTCGATCTTGGTAGTTGAAGCGGCAAGCACAGAATTGCATTGGTACAAAAATGTGCATTTCCCCACTTACCATTTTGTATTTAAAGGCACCTTCAAACTTAAGCCCTCGGTGGCAGGACCCCCTGTTGTCAATCACAACCACCACGTAGCCCAGAGAAGCCAGGGTGTTCAAGCGGAAATACTTTATTCCTTTAAACCGATTGTTCACTAGCTGCACCTAGAAAAGAACAGGGGAAATGTTAACACAGCCACCTCCAGCAAAGCCCCGGAAATAAGGGGATGGGGCCACAGAAAACTGACTTCTCACCTTTTAATAGGATTATTTTATTTCTGTGTTTGATAAAGCCACCAATGTTTCAAGGAATACTATAAATTGAATGTCTATTATCAGGTTATCGTGATGTCTCTGAACAGAATTGCTCTTCTCAGCATGGGTGCTACTTGAGCAAGCTCTCCGCCCTGCCAAGAGCGCTGCACCTCACTCACTGTGTGTGAATAGCTGTACTGAGTGTCTCTTGTGTCACATGAGGACCCTTCCTTCCTTGCCCTTACAAACTCTTCCCGTAGGGCCTTGGCAGGCACTGATGGAGTCCAGCGCTCCACCACAGCTTTCCAGTGTTGTGCTCGCAGCCCCTCATCAGAGCTAGACACAGACAACACTAGGGGCATGTCTGGCCATGACCCAGGTGACAGACAAGAATATTAGTTTGTACCTGGGATGGGAAAGCCTCGGGAGGCTTTGGCAAAGCTGTTGCATCACATTAAATATATTCCCACCCCCCACCTTGCATTTTAAGGCTCATTTCTTTCCCACCAATAAAAAAATGGCAACAGAGAGTGCTGGTGTTAGCAAGTGTCAGGGCATCTGAACAAAACCCCTTCAAAAAAAGAAAAGGATAAAAGTGCCAAAGCCTCTTTCCTCTTGCCTCCTATCCCCAGCACCCAGCCACCTTCATAGAAGCAGCAAGTCCAAGAAATGGAGATCAGGAATTTTGAACAGCCTCTATTATGCCCGCAACACTCCACTCACCTGAGGACCTCCGTAAATGAAAAGCACAGTGGGGTACTTCTTCCCAGGCTGTAGATTGTGAGGCTTGTACATCATGCCGTACAGCGTAAACCCCACAGAACTCTCGAACGAGAAGATTTCCGGCGGGACGTAGTCAGGGAGGGGGCCTGCAGGCAGGAAACAAAAGATGGCCTCTTTAACAAAGAGGTGGCCCCCCTCCCTTCCATTGGGTGTACGCCTCTCTTTTAGCCAGCGGGAATGTCTTCTAGCTAAAAGGGAGGCGCACACCCAACGGCAGGGAGGGGCCGTCCCCAGGGAGGATTATACTGCAGTTGCTCAGGGCGGCAGGGGGGCGGTCAGGAAGGCCAAGGTGGAGATGGGACTGGGACTAGCTTCCTGGATCAAGGACAAGAAGTCCTTTTTTAAATACATAGGGGGCAAAAAGAAGGTACCGGGTAACATGGGGCCCCGCAAGACATGCTAGGAAATTTGGTCATCACACCAGACAACAAAGCTAACCTATTTAATGACTTATTTGCCTCCATTTTCCTGAGCAGGGACCAGATCAGCCCCCCCACCAGGCCCCCCTCAGGCCCCAGGGGAGGCACACCTAGGCAAAGGGTCAGCGAGGATCTAGTCAGGGAACTTCCGGAGGGACTGGATGTATTTAAATCAGCTGATCCAGATGATCTCCACCCCAGGGTGCTGAGGGAATTAGCTGAGGTCATTGTGGGACCCCTGCCATGGCAGGGTGTTGGACTTGATGATCTGCTCAGGTCCCTTCCGACCCTACCAACTATGAAACTATGAAACAAGGATCAGCAGGAGCTCAGCTGCAGGAAGCTGCAACCAGAGGTGGTGATGTTGCCAAAGGGAGCAGAGGGAGGGACAGGTGTAATTTTGTCTGCAACCTGCTTGCAGGGGCAGTCACTGCAGTGCAAAAAGCTGGGCACAGGCCCAAACCCTCCCAGAGTTCCAGGGTGTTTGACAAGACTCCATCCACAGTGCTAAAGCAAAAAAAACGGAGTGATTTTCCCTCAAATAGGCAGGGAGAGGAAGTGGGGCATAGCTTGTGGAGCACCCTGCTGCTAAAAGGGATGAGGAGACAATGATTGATGAGACAGAAGAAATTCCCCATGTTCTACAAGAAATATGTTGAACCTGAACTAGAACACAGGGCTGGCAGGGACCTCCTGAGTCATCAAGTCTGGTCTCCTGCAAGCATGGGCAGCCCCAGCATAGATAGTCCCTTTCATACACTTGTCAGACTCCACCAGAAACAGATTAGGTTGTCTGTCTCCTTCCAGACAGGATGTTTCAGAACCTGGCTCCTCTGAGCTGCTCAGAAACATTCTTCAAAATTCCAGCCTGAATTCATTCACAGCCTGTTCAACTGCATTTGTTCTTTAACAGAGGACTGTTTTGAGGCATCAGCAATACATTTCAACCAGAACAGACACTCCCACCCTCCACCTTCTCCCCAAAATAGAGCAAACGGAGCCTCACTCTGCTCTCTGTTTCATAGATGTAACTTGAGAATCAATCCATTAGCCTCACCAGAGTGGCTCTAGCTGCATGGTAGCCTACAGAAGCTGGCTACCATTAACTCAGAGTTCAATGTTCTTGTTCACGAAAATAGTTAGTTAGCCCATATGCTAAATGTACGTACTGATCTCTGCAACAAGCCTGACAACGTAGCAAACCATCCCCAGCCACAAGCTGCTCCATAAGCAAATATAAATTTTTCATTTCCCTTCTGGTTCGATTTTGTAACAGGGCTTACAAAATGGCAGATGCTGTGTTAGGAGTGGCCGCAAATACATTCAACCAGGCCTAGAAAAGGGCCCAGTAAGCCTCCTCCAGAGACCAGCACAAAACCGAAGGCAAAACCAGCCACATTTACTTGGGCACTTACCCCCACTGGTTGCAGGGTAAGTCAGGGGAGCAGACACCCACTATTGATTCTCTCAGGATGTTTCTTGTTGTGGCTGCTTTGGTTCTCCATTACCAGTTTTCTATCCATGTTATTACCTGCTGAATCTAGAATCATGGCCCAGAAGTCCTTCGCTCTTTGAGCTACATCATCTTCTGGTCCAGTCAGCCTGTAGAGTGATACGCAATGTGGGCTCTTCTGGTTACTGTACTTACTGATGAACATGTCACAGTCCTGGAGAGGAAGAGGAAAATACTGTCTCCATCACAAGGCAGGACCACAAGCCTGATAATAAACTTGGATCTCTCTGAGGAAGCTCAGAGACCGTGCTAGAATTGGGCAATGGAGTTGGTCTGACAGCTCAGAAGCTGCAGTCTTATCATAATAATGTTCGTTCCTGCCAGATGCTGAAAAACGCACCTGCAAGATTACTGGCAGTATTAGTCTCTGCCTGGGGGCTGGCATGGAGGGGTGTACTTACACAGATTCAGGGCCCTGCATGTCCCAGCACACGCACCTGTTGAGGCCCGGGCCCATGGATTTTGCAACAGTATTAAACCAGTAGGAGCCAATGGTGTTATATGTGAGCGTGACTCAGTCTGTCAAACAGGAAAGCAGCAGGTCTGCTAAGGAGCACCAGACCCAGCCCTTTCAGCACATGCTGAGCAGCGCTACCTGACTAACACAGCAGGCGTGAGAGTAGCTGCGCTCCGTCAGCCGCTTCGCCTCTCCGGGATTCTCGTAGCTAACGACATACAGGTGGTGCTCTAAAGGGGAGTCCTTGGTGCCTTGGAAATACACCACCTTGTTTGCTTCATCCACACGGATCTGCCAGAAAAGAAACCCACCACCTCAGTTTGTACCAGCTGAATCAATCAGGTCTGTTCCCAGTGCTCCCTTAGCCCCATGTGGGCAAGGCTAATTTAGAAAGGTAGAGCTCAAAGGATCTCTTCATATGCATATGACAGTACTTGCAGACACTTAATTTTACTAGTTACCTTGTTGCCTGGTTCCCTAGGATGCCAGATCCCCCTGACTTAACCCACTGTCCTCTCTCATCTTTATTAACCTAAATAATCCCGGGACCACTTCTACTGCCCCCTTCGCTGTTCACTCCTTTCCCCAGGTTATGGATAACCACCCCCCCCCCCCACCCCCCCCCGAGGGAAGCCTGGGAAACACAGATCGGTAACCTTGTGCCATCTGGAACAGCAACCAGACAGGCATGCAGACTCTTCCACTAAGTAAGAAAACAATTTCTTAGCATGACAATTTATTATGCCTAAACTCATAACTCCTTTGTTTTCCTTAATAACCTTCTGTAAGGGACTTCCCCAAAGGCCTTCTGAAAGTCCAAAAGAGAAAAAAAACACACCCCTCACTTCCCACAAATCACTGGTAGCTGGTTCTTCTTGTTCTGCCATTTTATTGAAATGCTGAGTGAATTCAGCATGCTTAGAGAAGGTGAGTTTCCTTGTACCAAAGCCATGCTGACCAGACCACTAGCAGATCATGAGCCTTCAGGTCTTTCCTACTAACTTGTAATGGTTTGTTATTATTGCAAACAATCTTGTCAAGCAATTCCCTGTTCTTCCAGCAAAGTTCACAGGTCTGTAACTGGGATCCTGGGATCCCTCCTAGTGCATTTTTGAAACGTAAACAAGGCTTTGCTCCCTTCTCACACTCTAGCTGGGGTAGGTCTGCTGTGCTTGGATGCAGAGCAGCAGTGGACACCAAGGCTTTGACCATTCCACTTGCATGGAATTTTCCTTCCACCCAGGTGAAATATAACTCCTCATTTCCCCCTCCTGTCCCATTACTCCTAAACCAGCCATGAGCTTCCAAGAAATGCACAGGACAAAGTAAGGAACAAAGCAAGGAAGACACCTGCTAATGGTACCTGCCTACACTGCTCAAGTACTTCCACCGAGACCAGAAACTCAGGGATAGAATATTAAGTTAAATAATGGCAAGCAGCTCCTTTGCCAGTGTGGAAAGCAAAGCAACCCTGGGCACTCGCACATATGTGACGTGTGTAATAAACAAATCTTCTGCGTGTTGTGAAGTGACAGGAGACTTCTGCCAATGCCTTAGGAACACCACAGACCTTGTTAAAGAGCCAGCCAGACCTAGACCTACCACTCAGCAACTTGTGATGGGCTGGAGAGGCACAAGACAGAAGTGGGACACAGGCCTTGGGCTGGGTCACTGCACAGGGAGGAATTAAATCCAGGAGGGTAGGTGGGGCATGGCCGGTCTTCCTGAGCTGCCTCAAGCCTGACCAGAGGGCAGACTCCAAAGAAGGAGAGCTGGTCAGTCCCTAGATTCATAGACTGTAGAGTCGGAAGGGACCCCGAAGGATCATCGTGTCCGACCCCCTGCCCCTGACAGGAAAGAGGACCGAGGTCAGAGGACCCCAGCCAGGTGCCTATCTAGCTTCCTCTTGAAGACGTCCAAGTTAGGTGACAGCACCACCTCTCTTGGCAGCCCGATCCAGATTCTGGCCACTCTTACTGTGAAAAACTTCTTCCTAATGTCTAACCTGAATCTACTCTCCACTACTTCGTACCCATTATCCCTAGTTACTCCTACGGATGCCCTGGTAAATGCCTCATCTCCAACTCTCTGTTGTGCTCCCTTGATAAACTTATAGGCTGCTACACAGTCTCCCCTCAGACGTCTCTTGTGAAGGCTGAAGAGATCCAGATCCCTCAACCTCCTCTAGTATGGTCTTGCACGGAGGCCACTAATCATACGACTGGCCTCCTCTGGACCCTCTCCAGATTCTCCGAATCCCTCTTGAAGCGTGGCACCCAGAACAGGACACTGTACTCCAACCGTGGCCTGACCAGTGCCACATAGGGGAGGAGCATCACCTCCCTCGATCTGCTGGTCATGCATCTGCTAATGCACGATAAGGTGCGATTGGCTTTGTTGATGGTTTCATTACACTGCTGGCTCATGCTCATCTTGGAGTCAACTATGACTCCAAGATCCCTCTCAGCCACTGAGCTGCTGAGCAGGTCATCCCCCAAGCTGCAGGTGTGCTGGGGATTCCTCCTCCCTAGGTTCAGTACTTTGCATTTGTCGTTGCTGAATTGCATCCTGTTTTGTTTTGCCCATTGCTCCAACCTGTCCAGATCGGCCTGTATCTGCTCCCTGCCCTCTGGTGTGTTAACTTTGCCCCATAATTTGGTGTCATTTGCAAACCTGGACAGGGTGCTCTCCACACCCTCATCCAAATCACTGATGAAGATATTAAATAACACTGGTCCAGGGACTGAAGCCTGCAGGACACCACTGCCCACCTCCTTCCAGGTCAAAAACGACCCGTCCACCACCACTTAGGGACTGCATTCTGGGTGCGGTCCCTAAGCCAGTCTGCCACCCACCTGACTGTGTAAGCATCCACTCCACAGCCTGCTAGCATCCTTATGTGAATAGGATGCGAAACTGTATTGAAGGCCTCTTAAAGTCCAGGTAGATGACATCTGCCTCAGCTCCAGTGTCAAGGCAGTGTGTGACCTGGTCATAAAAGGCTATAAGGTTTGTCAGGCAGGATCTACCTGTGACGAACCCATGCTGGTTTCCTTTCAGCATCGTTTCTCCTGCTGAGCCTTCACAAATGAGCTCTTTAATGATTTTTTTTCCACTGTTTTCCCAAGAATAGAGGTAAAACTGACTAGCCTAAAGTTACCTGGCTCATCTCTTCTCCCCTTCTTAAAAACAGGCACCATGTTGACCCTTTTCCTGTCCTCAGGGACCTGGCTGGAGAACCATGAGTGCTCAAACAGCTGTGCCAGTGGTTCAGCTATGACACTGGCTAATTCCTTTAGCACCTGTGGATGGAGGTCATCTGGGCTGGCTGACTTGTACCCATCCAGCTCCTCCAAGTGCTCCTTAACTAAGTCAGAACTAACCACTGGCAGTCTAGTGCCTTCTGGACATCTACCTATGTTCAAATTGGGGGACTTGTCTTGGCCAGTACTCAGGAATACTGAAGTGAAGAACTCATTAAAGAGCTCCGCCTTTTTCCCTGCGTCAGCCACCAACTGTCCTGATTTGTCCTGCAGGGGCCCTATGTTACTCTGCGCCTTCCGTTTGCTCGCTATGTATCTGTAGAAGGACTTTTTATTGTCCTTGAATGTTGTAGCCAGGATAAGCTCCAGTCCTGCCTTGGCCTGCCTGAGTCCCTGCAATAGCGCACCAAGGAGGTATATTCCTCCTTGGTAGCTGCCCCCCCACTTCCACTGCCTATAAATCTCTTTCTTTGCTCCCAGTCTTTTCTGAAGTTCCCTGTTCAGCAAAGGGGACTTTTTAGTCCCCTTGCCCCCTTTCCTGCGTAATGAATTGTATTGTGTGCATGTTGCACTATGCACGCAATAGAACATGAGCTGTAGCTGGATTTCCATGTTAATAATACCCTAGTGCAAGACACCTGATTACAGAGATGACATCAAGAAGACTGTTACCTTCCTCTAGTCCACACATAGCAGCATGGCTATGTGGACATGACCAGGTGTGTGACTTCAGTCTCCTTCCTCACTCCCTTCCAAGCAGCTGTTCCCTGCTCTCATCATCTCTCAGCAACCTTTGCCTCTAGAGTGCCTGTAATATCAGCCTTTCAACAGCAGTTGGACATATGGTCTGGACACCTCAAGCAGAGTTAGCATAGGAGTGAGCAGCTGATTCCCTCTTGCCCAGACTCGAACATGACAGCTGGACTTTCAGCTCAGGGCCATCCCTGCAGAGTTTCCAGATCAGACTCAGAGCCACTGCCCCATTCACCAGGGGATTCTCTGCCACCCAGCTTCTTGCCAAGCTTTAAGGCCACAACGATCACGTGGCCCAACCTCTATAACACCAGTCAAACAGAAGCTTCCACACAACTGTCCCACTGTTCCTGTCTCCTTGTCAAAACATGCCCTTGCTCTCCCTTCATCCCTTTTGGTTAGAGGAAGACAATGGCACCTCACACCACAGCCTGGCCACGTAACTGAGCAGCCCATTACAGAGCCTAGGATCTAACTCACTTTGCCTGTTACCTGATCTAGAGTTCAATCCACAGAGGGCTGATGACAGCAGTACCTTAGGCTTAACGGAAAAGAAACACAAAAGAACGTACGTTGGAACCATGTCGACCGAGGACTTCCCATTCTCCACTGGTAACTGCCAGTTCCTCCTTGATCGGACACTTGAAGTCACCTATAGGGAAGCCACACAGTTACAGACTGCAGACTTCCCACCCCACCAAAGCTCTTCAAGTGCAATTTCACTGGTAGCCCTTTACTTGAATGAACTGCTCCCCCACTCCCCCCCCTCCCAACAAAGGCTTTTGCCATTTGTCATTTGCACAAAGTGGCTGTCTCTGCACTGAAACGCATGCAGCCTTATCAACGCAATCTGTAAGGTCAGGGCAGTCAAGAATCAAGAATGTGGCTGGAAAAGCAGTATTATTATTTTTGCTCGCATGGACTCGTTGCTCAAACTGAATGGTATCTCAAGTGGCTCCACCACATCAAACACATTTTGCAAAATCCAATCAGGAAGCAACAATCCCAAAACATCAACATTTTCACATTTGCCAACGAACGTAACATGTGGCTTTAATTTAAAGGGAGATGTTGCATTCCACCTTTCCACCAGAGGTAGAAAGACAAGCCAGACACCATCAGTGCCACCAGTACAGTTTCTAGGCTATCATGAAGGGAATAACTCATTTCATTTCAAACATATCCCTCTGAAAGATCAACTGCATGAAACTGGGATTCTATCAAAAGCAAAATCAGGTGCATGTGTTTCAGCATGCCATTGTGATGGAGTGAGTAAATGAATAGCACCCAGGGACAGATCGTGACATAGCATTTTAAATCAAAGGACATACACTATGCAAAAATGCACAGGGTCCGTGAGCACACCTATCTTTTACATCTGATTGGGATCAAATGTGGGTCAAAGCTTGAAGGCAACCAGATCCGTGTCTTTATTTAAACCGACTTTTCCTGCATTTCCATTTGCAGCAGATGCCAATATTTTTCTTTTGTTAATTTCTCTGCCCATACAACTGCATTGCAAATGCCTGCAGAGGCAGGTACAGCTCTATGAACAGCTTTTGGGCTGGCATTTACCCACTTTGCCATACTAGGAATAGGTTGAATTTCAGCTCTGGTCAGATAGGGCACAGATCTGGATATGGCATTCAAGAACACTTTTCTCCAGAAGGTCTAAAGTTTATTCAGTCATTTCAATCTCTATACTTAATTTGTGCAGGGAGACAGGACACACAACTGCTATGGTAGTTAACCTCAGGCATCCAAACCACCCCACCACTTACCTTACCCAAACCACACCACAAATCTCCCTTTTAGTTAATTAAAAAGAATCATGCTGTGTTGATTAAACATGCCATGTTGTTAATACAGATTTATGTGCCTTCCTGCCCCTACAGAACCTCATGAAGCCTTAAGCAAGTGTATAGCACTACTGATGTCAATAGGAGCAGGCATGGGATTCACTGGATGAGGGCCAAAATTTGCCAGTGGGAAAAAAAGACCCTTCTAACACTGTGGACACAGGCTGTGGTTACTTCACCAGTATTCAATGGTGAATACCCAATGAAACTGAGATCAGTATTGTGGTTACTTGGAGCAGGGAGGCCTCCGCATGATCGCTTGTATTTGCTCTCCCTCAACACTGACGTGATTTTGTACAAGTGCCGGAATCCTGTTTTACATTCAGAAGCAAAGATAAACTCGATCTCATCTTCATGGGCCTGAGGGAAGATGTGGAAGATGTCGTGGATCTGCAGAAACAAAGCAGTTGGTTTAGTGCTACAGGTCAGACTCTGACATGTGAAATGTTGAGTATGATTAGCTCTCATCACTCAATCCATTATACATGCTGCAAGGGTTTATCCATATCCATTCCAGGAACCACTCCCTAAAGCAGTGACTCTCAACCAGAGGGTAGCAGTGCCCCGGTGTGCCATGAGACCCTTACAAGCAGGGTGCAGCACAATATTAGTACAGCCAGCACACAAACAATTCATAAAATAAACACAGATATTTCAAACAGGAATCCAAAGTGGCTAAAGCATCCTGACCTGTGGTCATTTTTCTGAGTTCTCTGCAAGTAAAACCTGCTCTATCATTTTTCTATAGTCAAAAAATGACTATAGAGTGAAAGCTAAGAGCTGACATTTTCCAAGGGGTGCCTTGAGTCTAGTGAGGCTGAGAAGTGCTGTCCTAAATGAAAGATGCTCCCTGAGACCAACCCCCAACAAAAGGGTTCAAGAGGTCTCTTTTGGCAGACCAGACAGAAGAACACCAATAATCACCTCCAGCCCCTGATGCCATTATTTGAATGATTACTGCTGATTACTGCGTGCATTAGCCACATGGGCAGCATGAGTCCAGCCACAATCATCACTTGCTGTCGGCTGCTCTCCACTATCCTTGCTAGCATCCTCGTCCAGAATCAACCAGTTAAGTTCTTCTACCCCTGCACTTCCTTACTTAGATACAGAAGCAGTCACATGTGCTGCAGAGGAATGAAGAAAGCTAATGAGAGATCAATAGCTGAGGAGAAATCCCACAGTCAATAGTCTCCTATTTCATTCCCCTCTGCCCAAACCCTGAAAGAAAAGAGTTATTTCAGAGAAGACAGAGGAGCTGGCAGCAGCTTGGCCACTGCTGGGGATCCCAGTACAAGGCTGCCATCTAGGGTATGGTAATTTTAGACTGTCCAAGGGAAAAAGGATCCAAGTCAGGGGTGGGCAGTTATTTGGGCTGGAGAGCCACTTAATGAGTTTTGGTGAGCTGTTGAGGGCTGCACACACATGCATGCAAGCACATACACACAGTCCCCAGCCCTGTCTCCCCTCCTCCCCACATGGAGCCAGCACCACCTCCTGGTCATGTCTGCAGCTGGGGGTGGGGGAAGGGGATGGAGCCTGCACCAGATAAAATCACTTGGCAGGCCAGATCTGGCCCATGAGCCATATTTTACCCACCCCTGATCTAGATGGTTTCAACAGGAGTATCTGAGTCCCAGTGAGAAACAATCACAAGCAGCAGCAGTGAAGGGCAAAGGAAATCCAATAGTTCAGTGCATGGCACCTGCAGGAGGTGCACAGAGCCAGCTAGAAACTGTGCCCACTCTACCACCAATGTGCCTCTCCGGTGAGGAGAATGGAGCGAACCAAGGAGAGCTCACAATCACTGCAGATAGATGTTTTCAGGTCCTGCTATCAGCAGGCAGTGCCCAGGAGGTGCCAATTCAGAGACATCAGTCTTAAATCTGCACCCTACAGATGCAGCGCTGGCAAGGGGCTCCCTTTCCTGGAGTGACACTAACACTTAAGGAACGCATGCATATTCCACAACTGTACGCACACAGACAAAGTTTCCTGGGGGGCCAGGCAGTCTGGGGTGGATGTGAGCCACCAACCCTGATAGATAGGGGAGGTTGCTGGCTACATGGGCGATGGCTGGATAATAAGGCTGGTTTTTAAAAACCCTGTTTCTGAAGAAGTGTTTTGCTAGTCAAGGAAAAGACATTTTAAAGAGTTACAATTTTACTTGTTCATTAATGTCTTAGTGCACTTCTGCCCTGCGGAGCTGGAGATGGGTCACTAAGCTGGCAGAGGGATCTAGGGGCTCATGAGCCTTCCCTTACTAGCTATTACTTTAACTGGGCCAGTAAAATAGAATTGAAAGGAGAAATTTTTATCTTAAGAGGAGGGACACCACTCAAATACCTTGGGCTGAATACCA